AAGAGGCTAGATAGTCACCTGGCTGGGGTCATCTGACCTCGGTCCTCTTTCCTGCCAGGGGCAGGGGTTCGGACATGATGATCCATTGTGGTCCCTTCCAACTCTACAATCTATGAACCTATGTGGAGAGGTGGTGCTGGGTTCTTGATTTGGTCTGAGATATGGTACTTCTGCCACTCCTCTTCCATCTTCTGTTGTTGTCATGAGATTTCAAAGTACTGAGATCACTGCAGCAGACTCTTCCTCCACTTGGGGCGCTCCTGGGCAATAGTCTTCCACAAGTTGACATTGATGTTACATTTTTTTTAAGTTGGCCTTGAGGATGTCCCTGAAGTGCTTTCTTTGCCCTTCTCTTGCGTGTATGCCTGGGCTGACCTAGGAGAATAAAACTTGCTTCGGGAGTCTGGGGTTGGACATCTGGATGACGTGGCTGGCCCAGCAAAGTTGATGTTGGCTGATCATTGCCTCGATGTTCATGGTGTTAGGAGGATGCTAACGTTGGTGCATCTATCTTCCCATTGGATTCAGAGGAACTTCCACAGGCAGCATTGATGGTACTTCTCCAGCAACTTTAGATGTCTCCTGTACATTGTCCATGTCTCAGCTCCTTACAGCAAGGTGGGGATTATGACTGCTTGATAAACTATGAGCTTGGTTTTGGATCTGATGTCATGGTGTTTGAAAACCCATTTCTTCAGACATCCAAAGGCTGCACTTGCACATTTGAGACAATGTTGGATTTCTTCATCAATGTCATCGTTCTGGAAGAGATGGCTTCTGAGGTACAGGAAATACTCAACGTTCTCCAGAGTCTCACCATGGCCTGGATTACCAGAACTGGGGACTGTTCATTAGGATAGATCCATTACTGAGAACTACTGTTTGCATACTGTCATGGAGCAAGGAGAGTATAGTGATAAATCTCTGCTTGGTCTGCAACTGCTTATTCCTCAAGAGTTACTCCTGCTTATTTTACAGCTAACCTCCCTGAAGATCATTCCAGTATCTGCCACCTGTGGATGTGCGCCCATAAGCAAAGACCAAATGCTGAAGAAGTGATCAAGGTTTTAATTTCAATTCTTTCTTGGAGATGGCCTTGCATGTCCTTTTCAGCTTGTCTGGATATTTACATTATTTTAATTTAGTTCTTCACCAGATTCAGCTATTAGTATCTGTTCCCCCAATTTCCATCACCTAGAGCAGTAGTTGTCCACTCTTTTGGACTTAAGGCACAACTTAGAAAATACCAGCTCCTTGCTTTCACTCATGTTTTTGGTTACAGAAAAATAACAAAGCAATTCTGCTGCAGAGGACTTGAAAAGATCACAGCAGGTCAGGATGTGGATCTGTGGATTCTTCTTTGAAATCTTGAGTTTCTCTTGTGATTAATGTAGGAGCCATGACACCTTCATTGAGGATCAATGATCTGGAGCAGAGCTCAACAGCCTTTCAGTAGTGGAGGGCTGAATTAACAAAGGCTCAGTCATGAGGAGGACCAGTGTTTAATATAATTGATCTTCAACAGCAGTGTGACAGCAGGTGGCTCCTTCACAAAGCACATCTACAAGGACTATTGGACTTGCTCCAACTCCTTGCAGTTTCTCAGAAGTAGGAGACTTGCACAGCATCCACCACAGGAAATCCTGTCTCTCCACAAGCCCTAGGGCAGTGGTTCTCAACCTTGTTAGACTCAAGACACCCTTTGAAAAATGTCCACTGTTAATTTTCCTTCATTTTTTTTGATTAAAGGAAAATAATAGATCAGTTCTTCAGAGAACTTGTGGAAAGACCACAACAGGTCAGAATGTGTGGTGTTTTCATAGAATCATAGAAGTAGGGTCGGAAGGGACCTTGTAGATCTTCAGGTCCGACCCCCTGCCTGGGCAGGAGGAAAACTGGGCTGAAATGACCCCAGCCAGGTAGGCATCAAGCTGCTTCTTAAAGACCCCCAGGGTAGGAGCCAGCACCACTTCCCTTGGAAGTTGGTTCCAGGTC